TTTCTCCTTCTATTTCCCTCTGAACCTAGCTAACTTAAGCTCCCATCTAAAATTTTGAGGTGTCAGAGAGGAAGGGAATAGAGGCTTACGGAATCAGGTCGATGCCACCAGAGTCCTTGGGCATTGTTTATGGATTGGCCTGTCCTCTCACCTTCCACCAACAGAAGAATCAGCCTCTGTTGTTAAGAACCTCCCTACCACCCCTCTGGTGGCCTTGGCCCAGCCCTAGCCATAAAAAGGGATTTCATATCATTAGCGACTTCCCCTTCACAGTTCATTAGCATGAAATGTCTTGGCAGCTGAAATGACAAAGGGGACTCCCTCCTCACCCGTGATTTCATGGGGAGAGACAGAAAATATTGCGTCCTAAAAGCAGCCATCAGGCAGCTGTATCTGCTGCGGCCATCGGGCAGCTGTATCTGCTGCTTTTTTTTGTGGCTGTGACTCAATAGCAAGTTGAGATGCTGGAAAATGCTTGTAGCACTCATCATCTGGCAACCAGATGGCAAGCTGGATTTAACTCTACATGGTAGATCTAGTGGATAAACTAGTTGAGTCTGGAAACCTAAGTTCACATTACTAGAAGGCTCTGCTACTAAGGCTAAGCTGGACATGTGGGGTAAGCTGAGGCACTCCAGATGGTCCCAAGAAGTTGTGATGTGTGTGCACATGTATAGACACACATATAAATATATACACACATATATACATGTACACACACAGTCATCCCCGGTATACGAGGGGTATTGGTTCCAGACACCAGTGTATACCAAAATCCCCACATGCTCAAGTCCCACAGTAGGCCCTACAGATCTGTGTATATGAAAAGTCGGCCCTCCATATACCCAGGTTTTGCATCCCTCAATCTGCATTTGCTTGAAAAAAATCCACCTATAAGTGGACCTGCATAGCTCAAACCCGTGTGTGTAGTTCAACAGTTAACTGTATACTTACATACATATAAAAATGTATAAATGCATTTACTTTTTACCCAATATTTGTTGTCTCCCTCTCAAAGAAAATGGAAGATATAGTTGTGTTAGCCCCCTGAGCAAGTTGCAGTTGAGGTCAGACCATGACGTTCAAATATCTTTTCTAGAATAACTGAATATGGTTTCATGAGTTACAGCCAGAAAAAATAGAAGTTGAGACAATAGTCCCCAAGGCTATTTCAAATGTGCACTTCTTTAAAGAACAAAAAGAATGAGTGACACTGTTAACCGAGTCTCACCATTGATACCAGAGATGACACTCATAGCTCATGCTGTATGTTTGAAAATACCAGCATTGACCCACACTAAACTTGCAGATTTTCCTTCTGCCTTGGTCCTCTTGGTTTAACTATCATAAATATGCAGAGTTCACTCCAGCCTCACCTCTGCTTACTTACCAAGTAGAAATTGAAGGATAGAGGTGAAGACGGTTTAGTATAGAATTTATTTCTGCCATTTGCCCAGGACAGTGCATCAAATACTCCCTAGGATGGACCACAATGAGCCATGATTCTGGTATTCACACTGTTGTATAATTTTCTCTCCTTGGTTATGTGCTGAAGTTGACTTGCTTCTAATAAATGTGAAAAAATGATGAGATGTCACTTCAAGATTAGATCACAAAAAGATTGTAACTTCCATCTTCAGTGCACATTTGGGTGCATATGGGTGCACATTTTCTTGCTCACTCTCTTTTGTTCTGTCTCTTACTCTCGCTTTCTCACTCCTGCTTTCTTTGTTCTCTCTTTCTGTGGGAAGTCAGCTACCATGTTGTGATTTAGCCCAGTGAAGAAGGACCTGTCAATAATTGCATAAGTGAAATTGGACACAGATTCCCTCCCTTTTTCTCACTCTCTCTGGCCTTCAGATGAGACCACAGCCCTGGCCAATAGTTTGCCTGCAACCTCAGTAGAGACCTTGACCCAGGAGCACCCAATTAAACTGTGCCTAGCATTTTGATCCATAGAACCATGAGATAAATGCTTGTTGCCCGATGCCACCAAGTTTGAGAATCCTTTGTTAAGGAACAGTAAATAACCAGTGCAAGCATCAGTGGAAGATAAAGTGATTTCCCCAGTAACCATTGAAAGAATGAGCCAAGTAGTTACAGGACTCAGTGGCCAGTATACTCACTTTATAAATGAATCCGGGTTTTGAAGAGGTGTTTTTCTAACCTGAAGTAGTGGAATCACCACATGTAACTCCGTGCATGTAGGGACCTCATCAAACACATCTCTATCACTGGTTGGAATGGTTTAAAGATGGTCCTGCCCAGGGTACTATTTAAAATTCAGAGGGCAGGGCTCCACCGTGACTTGCTAAAATAGAATCTCTTGGGGTAGGACCTGGATCTGCATTTTGAGAAAATCACCTTGGTAATGTTGCTGTTTAGTTCAATTTGGAAACTACTAGAAAAAAATAACCTCTCCAAGTCATCTTGTATATTGAATTTTATTATTCTTTCTGTGTTAAAGGGGGTTACAACTATAGTGCAGGTAACACATTTTGGAAACTGAGTCCTAGCAGTGGGCTTAGCATACTTGGGTGTTGTAAATGTGGGTGTGGTTTCAGCAACTTGCAGAACGGGGGAAATTGAGCAACACCCCAAAACTTACTTGAATTCCTGAATCTAATCAAAGTAGTAATGGATTTTAGCATAATTCCATGAATGGCTTGTTTTCTAATAAAACGAACAACAATGTATTACTCAAACTGAATATTTTCTGAGACATCATGGTATGGGGAAGGAGACATTGGGATTAGTGTCAGAAGAACTGTGTTTAGGTGCTGGCTCCTCTGCTTGGCAGGTATTTGACCTTGAACAAGTAACTAAGTTCCATTTCTTCCAGTCTAGTTTGAATGGATTTACACATATGTTTTTATATTACCATGATCATACTATTATGTAAGTTTTTATCCTGCTTTTTTCACTTAACAGTACATTCTGAATGTTTTCTCATGTCATTAAAAGTTTTCAAAAATATAATTTTAGGGGCTCCATAATATTCCATTGTGTAGGAGTATCATAACCATTTCCTGTGGTTAAATATTTGTTATATCCAAGTTCTTATCATTATAAAAAACATTGTGAGAAACATATTTGCATACAAAATTTGTCTACATTCCTTAGAAGGAAATCTCAGAAATAAAATTACTGCATCTAAATGTATGAATAATTTTCCTGAGACACATTGCAAATTGCTCTTCAGAGAGGCTTAACCAACATGTACTTTTATCAGCAGAAACAGAATTTTCATTTCAATGTCAGCATAACCTTGCCAGCATAAAGCATTATTTTTTAAACGTTGTTAATTTTATGATTTATATATCCTTGCTAGTTTGATGGTCAAAATATGTCTTCTTGTTTTAATGTGTACTTTTTATCATGCTACTCACATTAAGTACTTTTCCGACATTTAGTACTGAGACTCCTCATTGGTAAAATGAGAAAAACAACCCTACTCATAGGGATATTGGAAAAATTTATGAAATGGTTATTTTGAATACTTCTTATGAACGTAATTATATGGTATATTCAAAGATAAAACTCTTATGATCTCAATTTAGTTGATAGCTATTTATATAAAGACAAATCAATCTCTCATGGGACATGGAGTTGAGGGCAAATCCCTTCCAGCTCCTTCATCCCATGCATTTCCATGTCATGTAATTAGAGTTCAGTAGCATTAAGAGCTGTAATGAAGGGAACTCAAATAAGTGACAAATGGACCCAGCAGCCTGCATGGTTATCTCCACATTGTTACTCTCAGTAATGGTAGGTGTTGGGGGTGGGATGACTTGGTCAATTTTATGTTACTCTGGGGCTCCAGTTACTTAACAGCAACTTTCCATAGCCACTTCCTTCCTCTTTACCAGCCAGGTCCCTGAGTCATTGCTCAACTGTAGGTCCCAGCAGCAGTTAGCTCTCTTGAAGCAAGAACCAAGATATTGCGCCTTTCTGAATACCCTAGGAACTTGTTTGCCTCATGTAGAAACTGCTTGATTTCAATGGAATGAGAGCATGCACCAAGACAAAGCTAGAATTCTCAGAATCCTTCTTCCTTTCCTTTCCTTTCCTTTCCTTTCCTTTCCTTTCCTTTCCTTTCCTTTCCTTTCCTTTCCTCTTTTCTTTTCTTTTCTTTTCTTTTCTGACAGGGTCTTGCTGTTGCCTGGACTGGAGTGCAGTGGTGTGATCCTGCCTCACTGCAACCTCTGCCTCCCAGGCTCAAGCTATTCTCATGCCTCAGCCTCCCGAGTAGCTGGAACTAGAGGCACATGCCACCATTCCTGACTAATTTTTGTATTTTGGGGGAAAGACAGGGTTTCTCCAGGTTACCCAGGCTGGTCTCGAACTCCTGGGCTCAAGTGATCTGTCTGCCTCGGCCTCCCCAAATGCTGAGATTACAGCCATGAGCCTCCATGGCTGACCCAAAATTTCTATATTAACTGAATGACTTATATATTATTGCTCATTTAACTTAATTTTCTCACTTATTTGAAAAGAAAAATTAAGAAATATAAACAAAATTATGATAAAGGCCTGAAAACACAGGGAGAATTTTTCAACAAATTCAATGTAAAACATTCAAGATGTTAAATAATATATGGTTTTCAAAAGAAAAATATGGTGGATTTAAATATAATCAGTGTTCAGTCTGACTATAACTTTGCTATTAGAGACCTGGAATTAAGCCTTCCTTTTTTCCAGGAACTCTGTCCTCTGTGCCTGGAGGCTGCGATGAAGTGGAAGTTGCAAGGGGAGACTCTGTTCTTTCTTATTTATAATTAAAAAATAAAAAGGGGGATTTGGGAACCACTTGTACTAGTGCCTATAAACCCACAGTAAGGAATTTTGCCCTAGTAGCTTTAAACAGACTATCCTTTTTTCTTCAAATTTATGGAGCAACTTTAAAGGCATTTTGTGTACATGATTATGCAGTCTGTGTTTTAATTCATTGGGAGTGCTGGCTGAGTATGGACTGCAAAGTTAGACATTTTGGTTCAATTTTCTTTGATATATCTGTCCCAGATATTACTTTATTTTATTCATACAACCTCATGATGTGTCTATAAACTTGCTTTTTTATCATCATCATTCTGAAATCTCGTGCAATAAATAGTGGTTGTGGGGCGGGGGGGAAAGAAAGTAGCCTCTTAACCTTTTTCAATAAGAGAGATGTCATTTTGTCCAGAAGGGCAGCTCATCTATGACTGCCTCCTTTCTGATGACCAGAATTATACAATGAGGCAACTGCAGCCCCCTAGAAGTGACAGTGTCCACAACGCTCAGGAAGCATTTGCCAGAGAAGCCTGCATCCATCATCCCACCTACAACTTGGGTTTATAAAATTGGAGCTCTGGTCAGGTGACCCTGGGTTTACCACAGTACAATGTTCCCCCAGCTCATGGTTGGTTTGGAATGACCATGACCACTGAAAACTGAGGGTACCCCAGATGAATCACAGTGGAGAAAAAGGCACCAAGGGATTCACCAGTTTGGAAATGGCCATTTCTAATCTTAATGTTCCATATATGGCAATACCAAATCCTTTGGAATGGGATGAACACAGAAAAGGCCTGTGTGTTCCACCTAAGCATTCTTCCTGCTGCAAGCTCTCTGGCCAGTGGTAGGGCATGCAGCATTGCTCTCTCCCACTTTATATTTTAAATGCTATTCATATTAAGGAATAGTAATAACTAATGTTTATGGGAGCTTGTTAAATGCTAGACACTGAGGCATGTTGAGGATTAAATGAGATGATGTCCAATGCCTCATTGAGGTAAGTGTTGTCACAATCTCACTTGTGAGGCTAGTAGACTGGATCTCAGAGGTCAGATAGCTTTCCCAGGCACTGGTCTAGGAATGGGCTCAGCTGAAATTCAGACACAGGCAGGCAGACCCCAGGGTCCCTGCTCCTCCCCACTGTGACTGCTGTAAGTGGTACAGACCCGTATTCTGGGCACAGGCATTAAATGGTCACAAGACTATGCTCAGTCTGTCTCACTTTTTATCAGGGAGTGAAGGAAAAGGTATCCAATCTATATAGGGAGATGCCCTGCAGATAGCAAGGCCAGCACTTCATGTCCAATCTTTCAGAGTTTTGTCAGACAGTTGATTTTCCCTTTCTAATGCTGTGACTGGGATGAGAAGGCAAAACAAAAATAATTAAAAATATAGTTATTTCTTTCCCTACTTGGCCCAAAGAAAGGTTCCATGGGAAGTTGAAAAACAGATGGTCCAGGGCAAAAATCAACAAGTTTGGCATCCAGGATTAAAAACCAGATGGTGCTAAACAATCTTTAGAAGCCTCTAGAGGGGTTCAAAGAAATTGCCCAAAACTCCATGTATCTTTCGATGAAGGCAAGTAGACTTAGTCATACATGATCTCATGCTCTGTGGCCAGGTTCTCGTCCACCCAAAATTGTTCCCTGGGATGAGATCAAGCTAAGCACTTTGGGAAAGGAATGGGACCTTTTAGGCCACCAAGAGCAGAGAATCCTAACATCTTATGGCTTTAATCAATGCAGTTGTTTCACTGAGTTGACCGATCAGATTAGGCACCTGCCTCTAATCTTCTCAGGGAGGTCAAGGCTCATAGAGAGCCCAGCATCTGAGGAAAATAAATGTTGTTTTTAGTATGTATGCTGTTAAAGTCCCAGCACATAAACCTCCAGAAGTCACACTTCTCCAACACCAGTCAGATGTAGAGGCATCTGAATAATGGCTCTTGTAGGAAACCCTGTTCCTGCTTCCTGTTCTTCAGCTGCTTGGAAAACATTGCTGGAACACTGGGATCCAGTGAGGGAGATTCTTCCTGAAGTGTCCTGTGTCCCAGACTGTGACTTTTCTAACCAGCATGGATACAGTTGAAACTTAAGCTCCGCTGCATCTGCTCTTGCCATGATAGAAACACTGGCATAGCACGTGCTAGGTAGCAGGCCCTGGTCTAAACCAGTCACCTATGCCAAAGCATTTTATCATCACAGTGAGCCTGGGGGGAGGGTGTTCCTTTGAGGGGACTGATTCGTGGAGGTTAAGTAAGTTGGCCAAGGTCACTCAGGTGGTAAAGGGTGTATTAGTTTCCTGTGGCAGCCATAACAGAGTACCACAAACTGGGTGGCTTAAAACAACAGAAGGTTCTCATAGTTCCATAGCCCAGATGTCCAACACCAAGGCATCAGCAGGGCTGTGCTCCATCCGAAAGCCTCAGGGAAGTGTCCTTCCTTGCCTCTTCCAGATTCTGCTGGCACCAGGTATTCTTTGGCCTGTGGCAGCCTCACTCCAGTCTCTGCTTCCATCTTTACTTAATCTCTTCTGGGTCTGCATCTTCTTCTGTCTCCTATAAGGAGACACTTGTCATTGGATATAGGACCCACCCTGATAATCCAGGATGTTCTCATCTCTGAGAGCCTCAATGTAATTACATCTGCAAAGACCCTTTAAGGGTCTTTGGTCACATTCACAGGTACCAGGGATTAGGAGATACACGTATCTTTTGGGGACCACCATTCAGTTCACTACAGCTGAGCAGCTGGGATTTGACTCAAGCAGTCCAACTCCAGCATGTGGCCTCCGACCATCACGCCACGCTCTCTGATGTGGTTACTTTTCACAGGTGTCAGCAAAATGCCTGCTCAATGATCTGAAATTTTTTCACAAATCATCACAGAGCTGAAATGTTCATTTTTCTGTGCTGCTACTCTGTCCATGTTCCAGAAAGGCAGCACATTAAGTCTGCACCACATCACGCATACCCTGACAGATGGAGAGAACATCGGCAAATCAGGTTGCTTTGTAAAGAAAACAGAATCCAACTTTGCAAATGTTAAAAGCTTGCATATTTTCAAAATTTCAAGCAAAAGTAGAAAACCTCATTACCTCACATCACAGTTGACAAAACCACCATTGACAAAGAATTATCCTACGTGCAATGAAAACCTGATTTAAGGCAGTGATTGTCCAAAACATGGGTGTTAGGTCACTACCTGGACATCAGCAGAGTTGAGGGTTCTACCCTAGTTCTTTTTTGATGAGGGAAAACACTATTTTTAAATGAAGCCTGCCACTTCAGTGTAGAAAACATAAAGCTGTGGACAATCACCATTGTCATTTAAGGGGGAGCTGTATTTCTTCTGAAGTAAAGTGATGAGTCCAGGCAGCACACTCACTCTATCAGATATGATTTGAAACAGCTGAAAAACCTCTGACAATAAGATTTTAGGACAGAAATGCTGCCAGGGCTCAAAGTACAGTTCAGAAGAATAAAAAAGAAAGTAAACAATGCCAAAGGCCAGACGGACAAAAGGAAAATCCTTACTTCGTTTGTTCTCATGAAATACCACAGAAAAAGAATCTGTTAGGCAGCTCTTCTGGAGTCCAAGTTCTTGTGCCGTGCTCATCTCTTCTTTCTGTTAAAGCTCGGTGCTTTGCAAGCTGTTGTTAAATTGCTTACAGGGATGGATGGGGCCAAGACGGTTTTCAGTCTAAAGACTGTCACTGGAAGTCTCAAGGCAGATTCTGAAGGCCTTGAACCACCTGAGCCTGGCCAGATGGATTCTTCCTTTCATTGTTGTGACCATTACTTTGGTGTCAGACCCCTATGGGAGAGCTGAGTCCATGACCAGAATCCTCATGCCTTTCACAACTTCAATTAGCCAGGAGCATGGCATGGAGCAGAAGGGCTGGTGAGAGAAAACAACACATAGGTGAAAAGCCTCTGGATTAGGCATTTCAAACAAGAGGCACTCATTTTGCCCAACACCCAGAGTTGTCCAATAAACAAGCCAGAAACTCAACCAGGTGATGACGGAACAAGGAATGGATGAGTGACAAACTAGGCTGTTGATTCTGTTGTAACTGAGGCTTGACTGTACTAACAAGCATGCAGTGATTAAACAGACCAGCACCAGAATTTTACCAGCTACCTTGAAGCCTGCTGACTGGCACTGTCCCTGGAGCCCCTGTTATAATGAGGTCCTTCTGATAACTTACTCCCTTGGATAGAGTCCAAGAGAGACACGTGCCCTGTGGAATTCCGCAATGTAACCAGCCATGCTTCAGAGAGATTCCAGAATAATGATGGTATTGCTTATTTAGGCTGAAGGTTATCTGCTCCTCCTCCTCCAGATCCCTGCCAGTCAAGGGAAGGGCATCTCATTGGTGTCAGATGACAAGGGTCTTGTTCCCTTTACTGGAATAAGCTTTTCATGTCATACAGACTCTGGAAGTCCTGAAAAGCCATCTCTCTTGGCCTTTACTTAAAGAAAGAAAGTATCATAACCTGCCACAGCAGTGGGGACAGCTGGAGCCGGGGGTTACTATTCGCCCTTGTTCCTATTCGTGGAGGCTCTTAGGGAAATGTCCAAAAAGCTCTTTATGGCTCTTGCAATTAATTCTGAAATTCTGGTTGTCACTTGTGGGTAGAAACATATGGTTTACAAATGGGTTGATGATTATTATTTCAAGGAAAAACTAAAACATTATAATGAGAGTTATAACATAATGGTGGGATAGTATAAATAGGGAGAGAATTTGTAGTGTTTTCTTGTTCGTTTTGTTACATGAATAGACAGCTAGGGGGAAATGGCATTCTATGGGGGAACTGATGGGATTTATTTAAGATTTATTTACATACCTCTTTTTTCCCATCTAAGTTATAAACTAATTCAGAGATGGACAAAGAATAAGGTAAAGGAAGGTCAAAATATTACCTTGGGCAGGGCGCAGTGGCTCACACCTGTAATCCCAGCACTTTGGGAGGCCAAGGCAGGAAGATCACTTGAGTTCGAGAGTTCAAAATGGCAACATAAGAAGACTGTCTCCAAAAAAGAAAAAGAAAAAGAAAAAGAAAAAGAAAAAGAAAAAGAAAAAGAAAAAGAAAAGAAAAGAAAAGAAAAGGAGGTGAGGTGGCACATACTTGTAGTCTCAGCTACATGGAAGGCTAGGGTGGGAGGATCACCTAAGCCCAGGAGGTCAAGCCTGCAGTGAACTGTGATCACACAACTACACCACAGCCTGGGTGACAGAGTAAGACCCTTCCTCAGGAAAAAAAAAAAAAAAAAAAAAAAAAAAAATTAAAAAAAAATTACCTCAGTTCGTGAGAACAGCAAAGATGTGTGGCATGACTAGCTCCATTCCCTGGAATTAGGAAATATCACCACACTTATGGTCAATCTTACAAAACTTAAGCCTTCCCACTGAGGGAGGGGCCCATAGACATGACAAAGTAGAGCAGAATGTGGCTGTTTTCCAGGGGAAGCTGGCTTCTAATGAAAAGGGAGGGAGGGAGGGCCTGGGCTTCCTGTGCAGATTCATTTCCCTTGGTCACCAGCAGGTCACTCACCCCACCTCCATGGGCATTAGCCATGAGGCAAGAAGTAAGTGGAGTTTAGAAAAAAATCCTTATTTCTGGAAACCAGAGAGGAGGGAGACAGGGTTCACTCAATGAGTAGGAACTTCAATGGTTAAATGTATCTTCCTGCAACAAACATCCATGTAACTATTTGAGGCCAGAACGAATTCTTCATGGTGTTTCTTTAGGTGATTCCTCCAAGGGAGGCCTGTGGTATGCAGGGGATTTTCACCAAGACCAGCGTTCTCATGAGTCTAGAGGTTTATCCGCCCTTAGAGGATTGGAAGATTTGCATCCGATTCCACAAGCTGCTAGTCCAATCCTCTAAGGCTCAAATCTGCTAGGGATCCATACCATGAAGGCAGTCCTTCACCTAAGTTTGCTTTGGAGTCTGATACTTTTCATTATGGACATCAGTGATTCATACCCTGATTTTACTTAGAATCACCCAGAGGGAACTTTTAAAAAGTATTGGTGCCCAGGCCCCTCCTCAAACCAAGAAAACTGAGGACTGTGTGGGCGAGCCTGGACATGGATGGCTTCACAAAGCTCTCCAGATGAGTCTAACGTGCACCCCGGCTTGAGAAGCATGGAGTGGCAGTTACAGAAGCCCAGGTTGGCAGCTGTCTCAGGCAGGCAATGTAGAATGGCAGTTAAAACTGTTAGCTCTGGAGAAGAATCCTGATCCCACTCCTTAGTGCGTGTTGGTTAAGTTACTTAACGTTCTTAGTCTCCCCAGGGTGACCAAGTCCATCCATAAAAGGAAATCCACTCCCGTAAGTGAGTTGAAGCCTTGGTCTTCAGCATTTATGATGGTCAACCCGAGAAGGTTCCTTTTGTTTGATCTTACCCTTCGTGTCTGTTGCAAATGGCAATGAGCCAGAACTCTGCCATGCAGATGCTTGTGTTATGCCCATGCCAGAGAGTCCAGTGTGACTCAGGCTCAATCAAAACAGAAAGTACCATCCTAAAGTCAGGGGCTGGATTTCCCCTGCCAAAATATTCAACTCTCATGGTATAATTTATTTTTTTTTTGCTTATTCAATTCATATTTTGAATTCATATTATGAATTAGTTGAGTTTTTAGATATGCTTAGTTGTTGGTCCATGTCACAGCTATCTAGCCTGTAAGGACCATTTCTTCTTGCTCTTATCTTGAGAAAATCACACACTGCTGCTTAGTTAATAAATAGTTCTTGATTATGGGAATAATTATGGTCTTGGAAGAATTCTGTTTATATAAGCAAGAACTCTTAGGTCTTAATCTTACAACTGAAAGGGATCATAGAGACCCAGGTCTTCAACTCGAAGGGAAACTTGCCTAGGGCCACACAGGCACTCAGAGAAAGGCCCAGATTTGACTGTTCTCTCTCCAAGTCCATTTTTCTTCTGTCTTTATCATGTTGCCTCCCTATACAACCCTCTAAACTACTTCTCTCTCTTTTTTAAATCCATTTTATTCTGATTTCTCTTTCTGCCACAAATGTTCCAAATTTATGAAGAAAGAAAATGGAGAAAATATTTGAGTATACATTTCTGGTTTCCATGCTTAGATTGCTTCAGAGGATTAGTTTTATTGTTCCAGCTTGTTTCTCTATCAGTTTAAAGGGCAAAACAATTTCCACACTTCTGAAGCAGCAACAGGTCAGTCCTCTGCCATCCTCCCCCATGGCCAGGCAGAGCCAACTGCAGCCCATGGGTGCTTTCCACTGCCTTCTTCCCTGGGATGGAGCCAGACAGACCTGCAGAGGGACGACCACTCAGCTTGGGCAGCCAAGACAATACCTGTCATCGCTGTAATGGGCTTGAAGCCCAGTGTCCTTCACTGCCAGCCTTGATGGCTTTAGGTGTGAAAACTCTCCTGACAAAGGAGGCTCTCACAGGCTCCAGTCATGGGAGCCCTACTGCCAGGATTTCAGGAAACTAGGGTGAAATGGGCAGAACAAGAGTTTGTCCAACAACTGAACAGGACAGGAGGTTCCCACTGCTTGGAAATCTATCTGTGTGTTCCAGAGACGTGCAGAACAAAGACCTGGTTATTTTGGCAAGAACAGGAAGGTTTAGATTATCCTTTTCCACCCCGTGAAAGTGGCCACCTAAGATGTGAGTGTTGAAGGAACATCTGTTTTAACACTCACAGAGCCTCAGTGAGGGTCTCACCATGGTCTTCACTTCGCAGACATAGCACAAGCAATAAGAGAGCTGCAGCTGTTGGATGCATACATAGTTAAAGACTTTGCCTCTCCTTTTTATCTCAGTGTTTCCAACATGACAGTGAGCACCGAGTGTTCTCCAATGGGCTCTGTTCCTTTCTGCTCCTACCAGCAGCTCTGAAGTTTCATGTAAGACCACATGTTGCCTCCTTAAGGCGATTTTTGGAGAGGGCATTTGGGAAATGACAAAATCAAAAATATCCAGCATGAGCCTTTGCACATCTTTCATGCATTGGGTGCCTGAGATGATAGAATTGGATCTGGAGGCATATGCTATGTGTAGAACAGCTTTCCCCATCTGGAGTCCAGGTGTGCAGGTTCACCCCTGAGTCCCAGACATAGGTATCAGTGAGTAGTGAGAGTAAGACAAATCCATCTCACCTACCCTTGTTCCATAAAAATGATTTTACCCCTTGAGGTACAAGGTCAAGATCTAATTTTATTCGTAGGTCAAGTTTCACAACAATTGAGCATTTGAACACGCTAAGAAAGATGGGATTTTGTAACTCATTGTTGAAAGGCAATGTGGCATAATGGTTAAGGGTTTGCATTCTGAAATTAGAGAGACTAATTCTGAAATTAGAAATTTGTTCTCTCTGTGACCTTAGGAAAGTAATGCAATTTGTCCAAACTTCAGTTTCTTCATCTATAAAACAAAGATCATTATAATTCCTACCTAGAAGTAATGGTGTAGTGATTAAGAAGGAGACCACTTGTGAAAAACATAAAATACTACAAGGCCACTCACGTCATGAAAATGCAATTCACTGGATACTATCATTATTATCAATTTTAGAGGCACAGACTTCCTTCTAAATAAAACTCCTTTCCAAACACTTACATCTACAGCCACTCATTCTATCTTCTCCCACTGTTAGAATGTCCTTATCTTAAACCAAAATCTCACTACCCTTGTTTTCTGGCCTTTTAATTTGTACCTACTTTTTGAAACCACATGGAAAAACTCAAATCCCTTTTTGTAAAGGCAGTGACTGGGCCACTGTTTTGCACAGCTCAAAGGGACACAGTTCACACTATAATCTGTGTCAGTGGCACCCCCTGGTGTCCACCCCACTGGAGAGGTGAATAGGGAGGATAGAGGGGAAGAAGTGCTGTGGAGAGGCTGGACGTATTCTTTTCCATGAAAATCCCTGGTGAAGTAAGGATCATACCAGTGTACTACCTTCCCCAAACAAAACAGCTACAACTCTACCAACGCTTCTTCACAGGACATGATCTCACATTAGAGCCCATTGTGCTTTGACCACGTTTTTCTGAAAGTGAGGTGCTCAGAGCTAAGTCAACATTTTGGGTGAGACATGACCAGGGCCCAGGAGAGCAGAATTCAACCTCCTTCATTTTTCTACATACCATAATTAGGATGCTACTGTGATACAAGGTAATCTTAGTACTGAATTCCTAGAGCAATTATGTTCTGAGCAACAGGCTTGGTTTTTAATCATACATTGTCCTATAATATCACTTCACTTGTCACGAATTGTTACTCATTTCATTTATATAAGTGAACTATATATGTGTGTGTGTGTGTGTGTGGCGCCTATGTGTTTCTTCATACTGTCTATGTTGGGAGTTCCCTGAAATATACGTTTTTAGACATTTTAATGACTCCTGTTAAATCTAGCACATTTCTGGGACCATAAAAATGAATCTAATTTGAATATTTAAGGAGAACCAAAGCAAAGGGACAGCATCTATTAAAATTTAAAATGGCCACTGTGGCAATGGAATCAATCTCTTCTGTGCACACAGTGGATAAAGCACGCTAGAAGAAATGGTGGTAAGTTCTTATTTGGTGAATGAACCATAATTCCCCAAAGGACAAGCATGATGCTTATGGCAGCCCTTAGTAATAATTCTTCATGTGTGGTTTTGCTGCTCATATTTTCTATGTATGCAGTGATTTCCAACTACACCCTGTGGAGCCCGTGGGGTTCTGAAGGGATGCTCCCAGGATGTGTGGGGGGAGCAGGAAGAGCAAGAGTGGAGGGCGGGGCACCTGTCAGCCCTCAGTTGCCCCTGGAGCTGTCAGCCTTTCCCTGTTGTATGTACTGGCCCTCCCTGTAATATTTCCTTTGTGAATAAAAAGTTTAGAAACCATAAGTTAAGCCACGCTCTGGTCACATCAGACTGGCAGGGAGTATGATCACTTTCATGTTTTGTCTCAGAAAATGGATTTCTAGGTGAAGTATATTTAAAAAGAGGGTCACCAGGCACAGTGGCTCACGCCTGTAATCCTGGCACTTGCGAGGCCAAGGCAGGCAGATTATCTGAGGTCAGGAGTTTGAGTCCAGCCTGGTCAACATGGCAAAACCCCATCTCTACTAAAAATACAAAAATCAGCTGGGCGTGGTGGCATGTGCCTGTACTCCCAGCTACTTGGGAGGCTGAGGCACCAGAATTGCTTGAACCTGGGAGGCAGAGGTTGCAGTGAGCTGAGATCGTGCCATTGCACTCCAGCCTGGGTGACAAAGCAAGACTGTCTCAACAACAACAACAACAACAAAAAAGGTTAATTTCCACATTTGGCCCAAATGTGGTCAGAACTTCAACAGCCGTGGATTAAAGAGAAAGCGACCACACCATCATCACCATCACCCTCTCTATCCCTGTCAAGCCCCAAACATACACAGTGGAAATGGAATTCAGAGCTAGAGTAAACCCAGGGTCTTGATGGACACCTTCAAAGCAGCACTGCAGGTCTGTGATTTCCTTCAGATTTGGGGAGAGTCCTTTGAGAACTCCTACCCTCATCTTCTGTTTCGACGGCAGAAAAAAGGGCACTGTCTGTCTTTGTTTTGTGTTGCTATAACAGAATACCACAGTCTGGGTAATTTATAAAGAAAATTTATTTCCCACAGCTTCAGAGCCTGGGAAGTCCAATATCAAGGTG